AAAAAAAAAAGAATTGAGTTAACTTATAGGACACCCAGCTTGTGTAGGAGACTTGCCTGAATGTGTTGGGGGGAACCCACACACTGGAATTGGGTACAAGATATTAAAAGTTAAAACTGGCAGAAGTAAATGGAAAAATGTACAAACCCACTATCACAACTGAAAATTTTAACACATCTCACTGAGTGACAGCTAAAACAGAGAAATGAAAATTCAGGTAGATGAATTAGATTTAAACAATATTGGTAACAAGTGCTTGCTTCAGCAGCACACGTACTAAAATTGAAATGATGCAGATAATATTAGCATGGCCCCCGAACAAGGATGACACTCAAATTTGTGAAGCATTCTGTATTTTTTTTTAAATGTCGTTAACCAATTTATTTACTTAACTGACAAGGAACATTGCAGAATAAGTCACAAGCTGGGCCATAAAGGAAGCCTTGGGAAATTTCCATGAACATAATGCTATCTAGCCAGAGTTGTTGGTGTTGAGATTCAATGGTAACGTTGGGTTCTCTGCCCCTCTCCTACCTTTCCATGAATCCCAAGAACATTAATCTCCAACAAACCCCTGGTTCCAAATGACCCTCTCCACATACCAAACCCCGGACCTGAGAGGACCACATGACTCTGGTCTTTCTCCTCAACTAGATATCTTAAAATGTACCCGAGATTTGCTTTAATCAGGTGTGGTGAGATGACAGGCATGGAGATAATGTCCTTGAAAGAAGAGTTTATTACCTACCACTCCCAAGAGGAAGGGACATACCATAACACTCAGGGCCACATGAGGAAGCACCTGGGTTGGTCAGGTCGCAGAGGGAATGAGGGGAAAAAACATAAACCAAAGTCTTTATTCTGGTTTTATGGGAAGGAATGGGAGAGGCAGGATCAGTATGCTGAGTAAAGCTTTGGATTGAAAAGTCAGAATAGTTTTGGTGGGCTCTGAGTGATAGGGGTGACCCCTAGTTGTCCAGTGTCTGGACGTGGGGTGATTTAGGGCAAGAAGAATATTGGCCTGGGGCGTGAGAGTTTGATAAATGAGGTGGTTGGAGGTGTGGGTTCTGGATTGGCTGGTTTGCACATCAAAACCATGCTCTTGGGCAAATTGATTGCTAGGTCGAGGAATTAGCTCACC